TCGAACAAGATACTACTGTTAAAAAAAATCGAACCACTTTTACTGTCCTAAAAGGTGATGACTAGGGCTCGGATTTTGTAGCAAAATAAATCCTTAAAAAAGCATTTTAAGTAGCCAAAAAAAGCCAAAAAAGCATTTATTAATTTAATTCTAAAAAAGCAAATTTCAATTACACATAAAATTAAATATTAAAAAAGGAATTCACAACCATATATTTAGTCAAGTTACTTTCATTGAAACTCATTATATTGGGTGCTAATATATTTTTATGCATAGAAAAAGACCTTTCCACGTCAACCGATGTAATCGGTGCATATTTCATATAAACTAAACCATTTGAATCATACTGTTCCACATTTACGTTTAGTGCAGTGCCATTATGAATACTATTGACTTTTTGAAGTTCTGCCCATCCATTATTTTTTGAAAAAACACGATTGCACTTTTCTAAAATCAATTTCGCTACTTCGCCATTAGCTTCCTTTAACTTTTGTTTTGCTTCTAACACAATACCTATACTTTTTGCCAAGGTTTCGCCTAAAAAATAATAATATATAAATACAGCAAATACTTGAAACAAAAATAAAAAATAAAAATACCTCTTTTTTCTAATTGTGTAATTGCATGTGGTAAAAATCCAAAATTTGTTGTAATGTAGACGAGATTTGAATGTAGAGATTGATTTTTTATAAGCTCTTTTACAACATTCACACACTGGGCATTCTCGTTGAATTCTTCAACTGCACTTTTTATTTCATTTAAATATGTGCAATAATATTCGACTGCTGTAATCCATGTACCCCAAAGAGTAGTGATTGGTTTCACTGATGACAGACGCAAAAAAAATAAAAAAAAAATAAAAACACTCATCATTGTTAAATCAATACATTCATCGCTCCGCCCAGAATCCAAAATACAATTTTAAACATTGGTAGTTTATAAAAAAAACTACAAAACTCAAGTCAACCATATTATAAGTGTATATGATATGACAACATGATTACAAATGTTAAAAAAATATAAATATTTTTCTATAGAAGTTCAATTTTACAGCTTTTTTGTTTACAAAAAAAATGTAATTAAAAATGCAAAAGAAAGGAGTTAAAATCTATATAATATAATACTTATAAATGTGTAATCACTATAATTTACTTATACACCAACAATTTACGAATCAATTGAATTAATCGTTTCATATTGAAATCAGAACTATGTTGCTGTTGCAACAACAACAACAAAAAAGGTGCTCTGATGTACAGTAGGTAACAAGTGGGTCACTGTATAATGGATGGTACTAAATTTGAATTCAATGATATAATATCATTGTATAAAAAAAAACGATTCTGAGCGGAGACGGTATGTCAGACTAGGTATAAGACATATCATATACTTCGGATCTATATCGTATTAAAAAAAATTTACCTATAATAAATTCCAAATTGATCATATCAGTATATCACATGTCCATTAGGTACTTATAATGCGTTATTAGTCAACAACAAACCCTGATACTAATATACTATCATAGATATATAATAGTGTACTTTAGAAGTTTCAAGTACCTACCCATCACGAATAATATTCTACAATCACAACAAAATAACAAAATAGTTATTTTAGGTTTTTTTTTATGTAATTTCATCCAAATTTTAACTTAAAATGACTGTAAAAATAAACTCTGCTAATGTATTTTTTAGATTTTTTGGTAAAAGAATTAGCTACTTACGTGAAGTCTTGTTTTAAATTTTCAATCCTTAGATATAAAAGTTGAACATTTTATAAATTTTTCACTATAAAATAATTATTCAATTTTAAATATGATAAATTTTGTCAAAATTTGATCTTTAAATGATTATAAAAAAAATTGTGCCTATGTATTTTTAATATTTTTCAACTGATATTGTAACAATATATCAGGAGCCTTGTATTAAATTTTTACACTTTTTGGCTGAACAGATATAATTTTATTGATATTTTTAGAAAAAAAACTAAAAAAAAAATGGAGAAGAAAATGTGCCTAAACAGTTCAAAATAAATCAAAACATTTTGAAAATGTTATCGTGTATAGAAAATTCTAATATAAACATTCAGTCAAAATTTCATGTACCTACGGCAATTTGTTTAAGAGTTGCGCCAAAAACCAAAATCGATTTTTTCAAACACAGATTTTAGTGTAAAAATGCCCGTTTTTCCTTAATTTTTATTTTGTTTTTCACGCCGCTTTTGAAAACTACTGTGAAATTTTAAATTTTTAAACCTAACCTTTTTTGACCCCCCAAAAGTACCAACTAGATTCACTTTCCTATCAGAAAAGCTACTGTTGAAGAAAATCCAAGCACTTACTGTCCTAAAATGTGATGACAGACACAAAAAATAATAAAAAAAAAAAACACACATCATTGTAAAATCAAAAAGGTGGGTAAGTGGATGTCGCTCTGCTGTACAGTAGGTTACAAGTGGGTCACTGCAGTATAATGGATGGTATTAAATTTGAATTCAATGATAAAATATCATTGTATAAGAAAAACGATTCTGAGCGAAGACGGTATGTCTAGGTTTAAGACATATTATATACATATCTATGGTATTAAAAAAAAATTGACCTATAATAAATTCCAAATTAATCATATCACAATATCCACTAGGTACTTATAACACGTTATACATCAATAACAAACCCTGATACTATCATTGATATATAATATAGTGTACTTTAGAAGTTTCAAGTACCCACGAATAGTATCATACACTCACAACAAAATAACTAAAATAGGTATGCTACCTTTTTTAATATGTAATTTCGTCCCAAATTTGAACTTAAAATGTCTGTAAAAAATAACTGTGTTCATATATTTTTTAGATTTTTTGGCTACAGTATGAACTATTTATGAGAATCTTTTTTTTAAATTTTCAATCCTTAGCTATAAAAACTGAACATTTTATAATTTATTTATTACGATGGTTGATAATTTTCGAGATTTTGATAAATTTTGTAAAAATGCGATCTTTAAATGCTTATAAAAAAAAATTGTGCCTATGTATTATTAATATTTTTCAATTGATGTTGTAACAATATATCAGGTATTAATTGAAAATGGAATTTTGGAAAATGGATTCAACAGATAAAACTTTATTAATATTTATAGAAAAAAAAAACTAAAAAAATTGAAAACTGAAAATGTCCGTAAAATGCTCAAAAAGAGTCAAAATATTTTCAAAATTGTATGGTGTATAGGAAATGCTAATATAAACATTCAGTGAAATTTTCATGTAACTACAGTAATTCGTTTTTGAATTACAACAAAATAAGGAAATCGGCACATGAGAAATCGAGTGAATATCCAATGTTGTAAAAATTTGAATTTCAAACGCTCATAAAAATTTAATTTGACTTTCTTATAGAATTTTTTTTTTCGATAAATGTAGGAAATCTTATAAGGAATCTTGTATTACATTTTCATAACTTAGATTTAAAAAGAAAAATTTTTATGAATTTCTAACTCGAAATAATTTGCAAATATTCGTGATTTTTCCATATTATGTCATTTTTTGAACTTTAAATGCTTAAAAAAAAAAACTGTGACTAACCATTTTTAATATTTTTCATCTGTCTTTGAAACAATATAGTAGGAGCCTTGTATTAAATTTTCAAGTATTTTTACTCAACAAATAAATTTTTATTGATATTCATAAAAAAAAAACTAATAAAATTGGAAACTGAAAATGTCCCTAAACAGTTCAAAATAAATCAAAATATTTTGAAAATATTATCGTGTATAGAAAATGCAAATATAAACAACCACTGAAAATTTCATATATCTACGGTTATTTGTTTTAAAGATACACCAAAAACCAAAATCGATTTTTTGGAAAACCGATTTTGCGTAAAAATTTAGACCTCCCCAATGCACCAACGATATTCACTTTCCAATCGAACAAGATACTGAAGTTGAAAATCGAAGCATTATTTCGACTACTTATCGTGTACACAGACACAAAAAAAATAAAAAAAAAAATACACATCATTGTAAAATCAATACATTCATCGTTTCACTCAGAATCTAATACATTCATCGTTCCACTCAGAATCTAAAAGAGGGTACCTAAGTGGATGTCGCTCTGCTGTACAGTGGGTCACAGTATAATGGATGGTATTAACACGGGAAAATGATAATGATAATAAATCCTAATAAGTAGGTGACGCTCTACTGTACAGTTACAAGTGGGTGACGGTAATAGATGGTACCTACGACCTACCTATTAAATTTGAATTCAATGATATTATAATATCATTGTATACGAAAGTCGAAAACCGATTCTTAGAGGAGACGGTTTGTCAGGCTATTTTTGATATTATATTTATATTGTTATTATTAATACGGTAGCCGGTAAGTTAAATTAATATAATATTATAAATTTACCTACAACAATTACCTACAACAAAATAACTAAAATAGTAAAATCGGTATTCTTGGTTATTCATTTCGTCCGAATTAAAATAACTATCAAAACTAGTCCTGTGATCCGTGGTCCGTGTGCTAATGCCAATTACTACTAACGCCCACACAACGACAGAATAAAAATTTAGATGAAATAGTCCAGCTCAGATTTCACAGATGTCTACGTTGAACAGACACAGAATATAATAATATGAAATATTCTTTGCCCTCTGGTGTGGAAGTCTGTGCTTACTATCATTGATATCGTTTGAAGCTTATCATTATATTTCGTTATCACTGTCTTATCTGTCTATAGTTTCGTTGTGGGCTTGTGTGACTTCCGCCGAACCAACGAAACTGGGTCTCAGATTATAACAAAATTAATGAGCACCGCTCTGCACAGGCCGTCGTGTTCGATAATTATTTGTTAGTTATTATTATTAAAACAGTACATCGAAAAACATGACGTATTATGACGATCGTCTAGATTAAACATATTTTGCGTCTTGTGTGTTCAGTGTTTTCAAGATTTGTATTCCATCATAAATACATAAATCGATCATGGTAAATTAAACAGGATCTCTAAACTAATAATGATTTTATAATTGCTACAGTAATATTTTACGTCCAAAAAAAAAATTGATTTCGTTTGATTTTGCTTGCAGAAGGTAATAATATTCAAATGTGTTGTGCTTACGTTTTATATTTGTTCGGTGTCTGTATATGGAGGGACGAACAACAAAGAACCGGTTTTAGAAAAAGTAATATCTGCGTTCGATACTTAAACTATTAACGCGTCAACTCATAATGTACAATATTGTATTCTGTGTGTGTAGTTACAAGCTCAACAGCAACATTTTAGGGGTGAAGAACACAATCCGGATTATGATCATGAAGCTTTTCTTGGACAAGAAGCGGAAGAATTTGATAATTTAACGCAAGAAGAAAGTCAAAGGAGACTAAGGTAATTTTTGTTTTTCAATACACATTAGTTTTTGTTAAGACATTACCATCTTTAATCGGTACCTCCTGTTTTGATTGTGGTTTGTAGTGTAATAGTAGATAAAATTGATAAAAACAATGATGGATACGTAACTCAAGAGGAACTTAAAGATTGGATTAAATTCACTCAAACCCGTTACATAATGAATGACGTGCACAGCCAGTGGGATAATCATAAAAACTTGGAAAATGGAAAATTATCGTGGGCACTTTACAGAAAGGATACATACGGATTTATGTCTGGTAAGGTTAGGTGGTGTTCTAGGTTATAGATTAATTATAGATTTTATAATTATCTCTCGTTAACACTTTGTTATTATATATAAACTATAACCCAATTAGGTGATTTTTTAACTTTGTCCCCCATTTACCTTATTAGCTGATCCAATGTCACTGAACAAATTTGTCTTTTTAGATGACGAAGCAAAAGAAGCGCATAAATCTGATGATTCCTATACATATGCCAAAATGATATTAAGAGATAAGAGAAGATGGGCAGCAGCTGATGTAGATGCTGATGGACTATTAGCCAAAGAGGAGTTCATCTCATTCTTACATCCTGAAGAAAGTGTTCATATGAAAGATATTGTTGTATATGAAACTATGGACGACATGGATAAAGATAAGGACAACAAAATATCAATGGATGAATATATTGGTAATTTTATCTTTTAACAATTTACTTCAATAGTAAAGCAGGTTCCCACTACCGGTGTACTTGTGAAATATTTGTAATTTGTGGATATTTTTTCCACACCATATGAACGTTTGTACAATTATTTGTCAAATATATTTGGTAAATGTGTCACAAGTCAAAGGGCACGGATCAGTATACTTATGAACGGGGCTTGTAAGTTCATTTATTTTCATATACATTTTGCAAAGTCAGTTATATTAAATTCTAGGTAACGTAGACATTCACCTCGAGGTAACAAGATTCAATATTGAATTTATTATGACATTTTGTTTTGCTTGTAATTGCATATTCAAACATAATCATACATTCTTTAAATTTAAAGAGCATTTTCAATGTTGGAAAGTTATGTCAATATCAATTTTTTGATGTCGATTTAAAACAAAATTTGTTTGAAAACTGTGAACATTCTATCTACATTTTAAAAACAAATTCAATATTATATAGACAATAAAGTTATAAAAATTAACAAGTCTTATAAAAACAAATGCATTCATGATCAAAAAAATGAATTTTTTTCATACTAGTTTGAATGTATAAATATTAGGAATGCATATATTTTGGTTTATACATTAAAAAAATCAATTTTTTTATATTTATAGGTTATATTGCATAATTAAGGGTTTTATAATGTACATTTAAGTGCATATTTGAGGATTTTTAGGACCCTAGTTGAATGAATAATAATATTCAAGCTTTTTATACTGTATGAACTTTTGAGCCCTGTCAATGAATATACTTGACAAATTTGCCAGTTATCGGAATACTTTATAAACAAATTACTTGCCTAAGTTACGTATTTGATTATTGGTATACTTAGAAGTAAACTGGCGTTGGGAACCCAGTTTAAAACTAAACTTAACTCTTTTATCTTGACTAGCTGATTTGTTTCCCGGTGTTGAGCCAAACGAAGAACCAAATTTCATTAAAAGTGAAATAGAACAGTTTAAGACATACAGAGATAAAGATGGTGATGGATTTTTGGACATTGGAGAGGTCTGGAAGAATATATTTTATTTCATCTCATAATTTTGATGATTTATAATAATAATTTTGAATTTTAGATCAAAGATTGGATATTACCTGATAATTTTGATCACGCCGAAGCAGAGAGCAGACACCTTATTTATGAATCCGATTCAGATGCTGATGGCAAATTAACCAAAGAAGAGATATTAGCAAAATATGATTTGTTTGTTGGATCCCAAGCAACTGATTTCGGAGAGGCCATTATGAAACACGACGAGTTATAAAACAATAAAAAAAAATAAGTTTTTAAATATTATTAATAACATTATACTTTTATATAATGAGTCAATATATTTATATAAATTATATTACTGTAGTAACTTTAAAATATCATTTGTATACAACATTTACTTAAATATTAAAAATTAAGATCTGACTGAATCAATATGCCAAAACTTTCTTTTATATGATAATTATTTTTTTACACTATTTATATCTGTTTAGTAATTTTAGATTTTTATACTTTAAAAATATAAAACTGTTATACTCTGTTCTTTTTTTTTGTAGATCATTTAATTATATTATTTTTAAACCAGGTTTTGTATTTATATGAATGAATATTATATTATATTATGATACTATATTATAAGATATATAAATATCTGTTGGTCAAATACTCAAATGTGTTAACCTTTAAAAACTTTTGTGCTCATCATTTATTTACTGTAAAACCAACTATCTGTCTATGCGCATATGTTATGTTATCTGTGGCCATCACATTTTAGACTGTCAACCTATAATAAAATATTTTTTTAACAATAATTTTCCAATTATTTTTTTTTTTATAATAATTTAAATATTTTCATGAATTTTACGTATTTTGTAAATATATTTTGAACTTTAAATGCTTCTAAAAAAATTGTGACTATTAATTTTTAATATTTTTCATCTGTCTGAAACAGAATATTAGGATCTGTCTATTATATTTTCAAGCTTTTTTATGCAACAAATAAAATTTTATTGATATTTATACAATTGATCAATTGATCAAAAGCTTAAAAATTCAATAATATCAAATAAAACCAAATAAATTACATAACAATAATAACGTTTATTAGTATGAATACTAAATGTAGGTACCTACACAAGATGAAGGAAATATAGCCATATATTTTATAATTTATAGGTAGGTATCATCTTTTTTTACATAAACACTTCTTTTGATCCAGGGCTAGAGTTATCTGACCGCAGGGCAGAAGTAACCGCTGTCAGCTACTGCAGATCATCGACTATTAATTCCACAGTGGACACAAGGCACAAACGAGGCGATATCAGGTGGTCGGGTTTATATAATTGCTGTGGAAAAAGCTGTAGGTAAAAACGAGTATTACTAGGTGAAACGAGAACGACGTGGCGCAAGACACGGAAAAGAGTCGATGCACGAAACGGCTCAACAAACGAGAGGACAAAAAAATGTCTGCCGGGCGACGGCCAAAAAAAGGCGAGCCTAAACAGAGGATTCGTTCTAAGTGTCCGGCGAACAAAACGGTGGCGTCCAGCTTGGAAAATTCTGTCAAAATTCGATCTTTAAATGCTTATGAAAAAAAATTGTGCCTATGTATTTTTAATATTTTTCAACTGATATTGTAACATTATATCAGGAGCCTTGTATTAAATTTTTACTCTTTTTGACCCAACGGATAAAACTTAATTGATATTTATAGAAAAAAAAACTGAAAAAATTGAAAACTGAGAATGTCCGTAAACAGCTCAAAAAGATTCAAAATATTTTCAAAATTATAAGGTGTATAGGAAATGGTAATATAAACATTCAGTGAAATTTTCATGTATCTACAGTCATTCGTTTTTGAATTACAACAAAATAAGGAAATCGAGTGAATATCCAATATTGTAAAAATTTGAATTTCAAACACTCATAAAAATTTAATTTGAATTTCAAACGCTCATAAAAATGTAATTTGACTTTCTTATACACATTTATTTCTTAATAAAGGTAGATAATCTTATGAGGAATCTTGTATCACGTTTTAAAATCTTAGATTTAAAAAGAAAAATTTTTACGAATTCTTAACTCAAAATAATTTGCTAATTTTCGTGACTTTTCCATATTTTGTCAATTTTTGAACTTTAATTGCTTATAAAAAAAAACTGTGACTAAAGATTTTTAATATTTTTCATCTGCCTTTGAAACAATATACCAGGAGCCTTCTATTAAATTTTCAAGCTTTTTTAACCAACAAATAACATTTTATTAACATTTATAGAATAAAAAACTAAAAAAAATTCGAATTCGAGTACTCGATTTGACTGGATAAAAATTTGTTTAGATTCTGAGCGGAGCGATGAATGTACTGATTTTACAATGATGTGTGTTTAATTTTAATTTTTTCAATTTAATTTTTTTTTTCATTTGTTTTTGTACACGATAAGTAATCGAAATAATGCTACGTTTTTCAACTTCAGGTCAAAATTTAAAATTCCCAGTAATTTTCAAAAGCACAGAGAATAACAAAAAAAAAATGTAGGAAAACCGGGAATTTTTAAGAAAAATTGATTTTTTACAAAATCGATTTTGGTTTTTGGTGTAACTCTAAGACAAATAAACGTATAGGTATAAATTAAATTTTCACTGTTCGTTTATATTTGCATTTTCTATTCTTCATCTTTTTTTCTACAAATTAATGCAAGACTCCTGATATATTGGTACAATAACAGTTGAAAAATATTAAAAACTCATAGGCACAATTCTTTTTTATAAGCATTTAAAGTTCGAATTTTGACAAAATTTATCAAATTTAAAATTTAATAATTATTTTGTAGTTAAAAATGTAAAACAAGGTTCCAATTAATAACAGCCATTAGATAAATATTTATATGTAAATTACTTTATTCACACTAATTTCACAGTAATATCATCAAATATACTTAGTAATATCATATAGGCTGACTGACTGTTTTCACTCAGAATCGTTTTTTATACAAATATACAATGATAATTGATATTATATCATTGAATTCAAATTTAACAATATCCATTACAGTGATCCACTGGTAACCTACTGTACATCAGAGCGACATCCACTTACCCACATTTTTTTAATTTTCTAGATTCTGAGTGAAACGATGAATGTGTTGATTTTACAATGATGTGTTTTTTTTTTTAATTTTAATTTTTTTTTGTGTCATCACGTTTTAGGACAGTAAAAGTGTTTGGATTTTCTTCAACAGTAGCTTTTCTGATAGGAATGTGAATCTAGTTGGTACTTTGGGGTGTCAAAAGTGAAAATTTCCCAGAAGTTTTCAAAAGCGGCGTGAAAAACAATAAAAATTAAGGAAAAACGGGAATTTTTACACTAATAAAATCTGTTTTCGAAAAAATCGAATTTGGTTTTTGGTGCAACTCTTAAACAAATGACCATAGGTACATATATACAATTTATATATACAATTTTGACTGAATGTTTATATTAGCTTTTCTATACACGATAACATTTTCAAAATGTTTTGATTTATTTTGAACTGTTTAGGCACATTATTTTCCATTTTTTTTTTAGTTTTTTTTTCTAAAAATATCAATAAAATGTTATTTGTTGGTTAAAAAAGCTTGAAAATTTGATACAAGGCTCCTACTATATTGTTACAATGGCATTTGAAAAATATTAAAAATGCTTAGTCACAGTTTTTTTTTTTTTATAAGCATTTAAAGTTCAAAAATTGACAAAATATGGAAAAATCACGAAATTTAGCAAATTATTATTGAGTTAAGAATTCGTAAAAATTTTTCTTTTTAAATCTAAGATTCGAAAATGTAATACAAGATTCCTTATAAGATTATCTACCTTTATCAAAAAAATTAAAAAAATGTGTATAAGAAAGTCATATTAAATTTTTATGACCGTTTGAAATTCAAATTTTTACAACAATGGATATTCACTCGATTCCTCATGTAGCGGTTTCCTTATGTTGTTGTAATTCAAAAACGAATAACTGTAGATACATGAAAATTTCACTGAATATTTATATTAGCATTTCCTATATACCATACAATTTTGAAAATATTTTGACTCTTTTTGAGCTGTTTACGGACATTTTCAGTTTTCAATTTTTTTTAGTTTTTTTTCTATAAATATCAATTAAGTTTTTTCTGTTGGGCCAAAAAGTGTAAAAATTTAATGCAAGGACCCTGATATACTGTTACAATATGAGTTGAAAAATATTAAAAATAAATAGGAACAATTTTTTTTTTTATAAGCATTTAAAGATCGAATTTTGACAAAATTTATCAAATTTAAAACTGAATAATTATTTTGTAGTTAAAAATGTATAAAATTTTCAACTTCTATATTTAAGAATTGAAAATTTAAAACAAGATTCCACGTAAGTAGTTAATTCTGTTACCAAAAAATCTCAAAAATACATAAACTCAGTTTATTTTTATAGTCATTTTGAGTTCAAATTTGTACGAAATTACATAATAAAAAACCTAGAATAACTATTTTAGTTATTTTGTTGTGATTGTGGGAACTTGAAACTTCCAAAGTACACTATTATATATTTATATATCTATGATAAGCTCAAGGTTTGTTGTTGATGTATAAAGCGTTATAAGTAGGTGCCTAATGGATATTGTGATATGATTAATTTGGAATTTATTATAGGTCAGTTTTTTTTAATACCATAGATGAGTATATAATATGTCTTATACGTAGACTGACAACCTCTCTGAATCATTTTTCTTATACAATGATATTATATCATTGAATTCAAATTTAATACCATCCATTATACAGTGACCCAGTTGTAACCTACTGTACAGCAGAGCACCATTTTTTTTATCAAAATCCATAAAGCTTTAACAAATATTTAGTATTTACCAATGTTAAATAAAATCCTTTTTTAATTTATTTATTTAAAAATATAATTTTCCAAACTGAACATTTTTCAAAGAAACTATAATAATCTTGTTTCTATGGGCAACTTCAGTGTAAATAATATATTATTTACACCGAAGCTGTTTTATAATTCGTATTTATTGCATATCAGTCTGTTCTATCAGTACCTACCTATATTTGTTACAACGGACATTAATTATAATACAGTGCAAAACTCATTACGCAGTGGCGTATTTAGGGAGGGGCCCATAGGGGCCCGGGCCCCCCCCCCCCCCCCTTGGCCCGTGTAGTACATATTATAATAGTATAACACAATACTTAAAACACAGTTTTCATCAAATATACATTTTAAAACTTATAGAAAACCTTGTATTAAATTTTCAATTCTAAGCTATGAATACTAAAAATGTAGGTTTACTTAGTATTGTAATGTAATACGCTTTTGTTTTTATTATTTTAGAAATTAGGACATTTGTATGATATTGCCAATTTTGTGGTCAAACACACTTTACAGTCTTCTGAAATATTTAATTGTTTGAAATTGACTTGGATATCCGATCCAAAGTATGATTTTCCTATACGTGCAGAAGGCAAACATAATAAAAAATTTTAATATAAGTATTTAGAAATTTTAGAAATATTTCCATGGTTAGCTTATAGTGAGATTAATAAAGGAGCCTATTGCAAATGGTGTGTTGTATTTGCTTTTTCAGGCGGTGGATCAGGCAACCAGGTATATTACACAGAAAAAAAAACTATTTCCCTTGATTATTTATAAATATAATAATTTTATAATTATTTCTTGTAGTCGTTAAAGAATCTAGTAAAATCTAGTATAATCTAGTATAAAAATCTCCGCAAGGAGAATGCAACTACAAGACTGGTCAAAATAATAGACATTACTTAAATTGTACATGCTTTAATATAAGTACTTTAATTGTCTTAATCTTAATTAAATATAAAATATAATATACCAAAATGTATGATTTTTGTGTTATATCTGGTGGGCCCCTCCCTTGAGAGATTTCTGGCTACGCCACTGTCATTACGTACCTTAGTTTTGTATAATATACAAACATCAGATCAACATTATGTCGACTAACGAAGCCGTGAAGAGTTCGTCCGATGTCAATAAACAGTCCGCCACAGAAATCATGATCCAGGTTTTTGAAGACCTCCGGGAAAATCGGCCTATAGTGTTGGAAGAGAGTGTGGTCACCAGTCTGAAGCTTCACAGGCGATACGCATCGTTGCCAAACATTTCGCTGCAGTCCGAAACCGCTTCAATGACGCAAGTAGTTGGTGATCTGCTTGAAAATCGTCCGATAACCCTGAAAATCGAGAGTTTTCAAAGGCGAAGCAAATCGATGCCAAACATGGCATTCGAAACAAAGTCCATGGGCGATGCACCAGAAGCGATTCCGTCCGTCGCTTCCATCACCGAGATGCAAGTTTTGACGGATTCGCCATCGGCCGAATCGTCGACTAACAGCGAAGGATTGAGACCTGCCGCTGCTGTAAGAACTAGCGACTTTCACTCTCTGTTACCGTCGACTTTGCCACCTGTTGACCTGCCACTCGATTTCGACGCCCGGCATTTGAGTTCGATAATACCGAACACTTCGGAAACACAATTAATCGGTGATGCCGAGTCGGCAAAACCTCTGGAGCACGAGGCGACCGGTGCAGGTTTACGGGACATCACGGTTACCAGAGGCGGAAGTGGAGATACCGCAGCACCGGAAGTGATAGGAAGCGCTGTCCGACCTAGTCGTCGCACACTTTGGAGTCGGGCGAAGACATTTGCCCTGCGAATGTTTTGTTGCGGTGTTCCCGACGTAGACCGAACGTAGATTATGTTCATTTTTGGGCTGTCATATAGTATGCGGTCTACCACAAATAAATAAAGTATCAATTATATCATAATATTATAGTATAATTGTTGTCAAAAATGATGAATATTGTGCATTATTGTGAATTATCTTAAATAATTAAAAATTTGTTTGTCAAAAATATTGTTGTCAAAAAAAAAAAATATATATAATAATAATAATAATTTAAAAAAAAACATAATATGTTGTTCATATTACAAAAACTTCAGCCATAATATCTCTCAAAAATGCATTAAATAAATCCGATTTATTTATTCCTCGCCACCATCTTTTTCACGCCGCTTTTGAAAACTACTTGGAAATTTTCATTTTTGACCCCCCCAAAGTACCAAGACGAGACCGCATACTATATGACAGCCCAGCAGTGACGGCTCGTGCCTAGGTGTGCAGGTGTGCGCACACCACATAGATTAATTAGATATGATAGTGAAAATGTATAATAAAAATGTGTTATATGCCCACCACTATAGAGACTATAGAGACTATAGAGACGCTTGTTTTACAGAATATAATAACGCCTGTATGTAGGCGTCTTATCTTAGATATTTTGCTTATACGCGACAAGACTGTAGTATCGGTCCTGTCGGCAATTCAGTCTAGAACTCGACTCATTCGAGCTAAGTAGTGAGCTTGTAGTATAAATCATATTTTTTTAAAACTAATAAAGTATAATATTCTCATATAAATCTAAAACGTGTATTCTTTTTATTAATAAACTATTAAACAACATTTGATTATCACCCGCTACACAGAGAACGGTTTCAACAAATTGTCGTCTTCGGATACAACCAGAGACACAATATAAAATATAACAGAACATCACAGGCATACGCAGTGGCGTTCATAACATTGGTGGCAGCGGTAGCCGTTTTCATTTTCTTTTCTGTGAAAGAAATTCTGTCTAGTGAGTGATATATTCAAATAATTATTATAAATAAAAAAAAAGTGAACACGAGTGAATATATTCATACGGAGGCGCTTTTACCTAAAGATTGGTGAGGAAACTATTCTATAGTCCCCGATATTTACGTCACACGCATCTACAAATACACCGTAGGAGGTGCTACTTGTTTTATACCAACTACGTAAAAAACGGGATCACCATATTTTATCGTTCATTATAAATACACAATCAACGTCTATTGTCAATACCAATACGCACATTTATACGATAAGCTACACTACATCTCGTCTACATCGATTAATTAGTAAACAGAAATTAATTAATCGTTCAAGTTAAACAAAACCCACCAGTGTGGTCTCCGCGCATACCGGTTTCGGAGCGTAGAACTTCAAACGAAATAACTTGAAGACTACGTGGGAACGACACCGAGAGACGTGGCGAGTTCAACAAGGGATCCAGATAATCTGTCAAAGAAGTCAATTATTATGCAGTTCGGAGTAATAACAAAGACCGTCATACTGTAAGTAAAAAAAAAAAAAATAATAACATAAATATTTTTATATTATAATAATATTATTATCACTAACTTGAATAATAGAATAAAATTACTGTATTTTTTATTTTATCTTGACCTACTGACATAGTAACATAATTGTAATTTTTTTTTATTATTATTGTCGTTTTGTTTTGTTGTTATTATACACTATAATAACAAACTAACACTTTTAATGTATGTCTACTCAATCAAGTAGTGGTAATAGTAGCAGTGATAGGAGCCCAGATACATCTACAGTAAATAAAGGTTATAATACTCCTATATCAAATAACTTTGACGATAATTTAAAATATACTGGCCCAAATACTAGGTCACGAGCACACCAAAATAAAAGATACCATAGGAAATCTAGAAGTGTAGAATCATTATTCTCTGATACTAGGGGAAATATTTCAACTTCAGTACCTTCGGATCAAATAGGTGAAGAAAATACACCAAAACAAATAAATAAAAATACCGAACTACTCGGTTTAAAATTTTTGGGGGTGGATAATTCGTGTACCATTTCCAAAATGAACAATACAGTTCTTTCATTAGAAACAGACATTAAATTGGTTCCTTTTTTCAATGGTGAAGATTCAGCTGATATCTATCCTTATCTTAGCGCATGTGATTTCGTAATGTCTAATGTCGATAACAACATAAAGCCAGTTTTGTTACAAGCTATTCGTACAAAATTAAGTAAAAAAGCTTTTGCGATAACTCAACATCGTGATGTAGAAGATTGGGCAGGACTTAAACATTTACTCGAATCAAACTTTTGTGCTAAACGTACACCAGGGTATCTACAACTTGAACTTACATCAACAAGACAGTCTCAAGGAGAGTCAGTTCATGACTACTCTACAAAGGTTGAAAATCTACTCAATGAATTATGTAATGTGAGCACAAAGGGAAAATCAACCACAGATGCCACAGCAATACGTACATATATAAAAGAAATTACTTTAACGACGTACGTAGAAGGATTATTACCTCATTTAAGAACAGTGATTAAATCAAGAAACTTTGAAACACTGGAAGATGCAATGAAGGCAAGTCTTGAAGAGCAGAAAATTTATCAATCATCAAAAGAGACTCAACGAATACTTAAAGGAGGAAACCAAGGCAGAAATAACAATCAAAAGTATTGCGAAATTTGCAATCGTAATAATCATTTTACAAATCAATGTAGATATGGAAATCGCGGTCAAGATACTGGCCAACAAAATTTTCAATCAAAAGTACATTCAAATCCAAATAATAAAGATGTGAAAAAGATAACATGTGCTTATTGTAATAAACCGGGACACTCCGAAGATGTATGTTACAAAAAGAAAAAAACAAATAAATCCAATGGACAGTTTTCGGGAAACGAGCCAAGACCGAGTGGCTCGGGCAACCAATCGGTCAAAACATTAAACAATAGCCTTAAACCTGCAAGAACCTTGTCATTCAAAATCAAATTAATTGATAATCATGCTTTATATAAAATTCCACAATGTACAAAATATATCGTAAAGCTACTTGTAGACACAGGAGCTGATCTTAATTTAATAAAACTAGGCGCTCTTCACGATGATGTTCAAGTATCAGACACAAAAATATTCATGTTACAGGGGATAAATGATCAAACAGTTAAGACCCTGGGATTTACAATGTTGACAGTCATAAATGGAAATCAATCTTCCGAAAGTGAATTTCATGTAGTTCCGACAAATTTTCCAATTATGGGCGATGGTATTTTGGGAAAACCATTTTTAACGGAGAATCAAATTGTCATTGACGTAGGAAAAGGGGAAATTACATCAAAATTAGAAAATAAACAACTATTCCAGCTAGATGTGAAACAATTATTCCAGTAGATGTGTCAGATCTACAAATTCAAGAACATCAGAGCATACTAGTTTACGCTCAAAATATAAATAATGAAATAATATGTGGAAATATATTAAATAAAGTAAAAAATCATCAGATTCTCATAAGTATAATTAACCCAACAGAAACTCAGATTGTGGTACCTACACCAAAACTAACAGAGTTATCACACGAAATAATAAACGAAGAATCAATAAAACATTTTATACATACTAATAAGGTAACAAAAAATGAACAAAATCGGATTCAACTTCTAAAGAACTTTCTCAAAACAGATCATATGAATCTTGAAGAAAAAGTATCCATTGAAGAATTATGCAGTGAATTTTCCGATATATTTTTTCTCGAAGGAGATAAAATTACATGTACAGACGCTGTATATCATGAAATAAGAACACCAGGAACAACACAACCCATCTATCAACGACCTTATAGACTTCCATATTCACAGAAAGAGGAAATAGATAACCAAATTGAAAAATTGGAGAAAGATGGAATAATTGGGCCCAGTGATAGCCCATGGAATGCTCCATTGCTAGTAGTGCCAAAGAAGATCGATGACTCAGGTGAACAAAAATACAGGGTTGTAGTTGATTTCCGTAAATTAAACAACCTTACTGTGGGAGATGCTTTCCCAATGCCAGATGTCAATACAATCTTAGATCAATTGGGAAATGCAAAATATTTCTCTTGCTTGGACATGGCGAGTGGTTACCATCAAATTCCAATGCGACCGGAAGACAGACAAAAAACCGGTTTTAGCACCGAAAAGGGCCATTTTGAGTTCAATAGGATGTGTTTTGGACTAAAAGGAGCTCCGGCAACTTTTCAAAGACTTATGAATCAGGTACTTATTGGTCTCAACGGTGTGAAATCTTTTGTTTACCTGGATGATGTAATCGTTATTGGAACATCTATTAAAGATCACGAAAATAACTTACGAGATGTATTTAAAAGATTTCGTAAATATCATTTGCAACTTCAACCACTGAAATGTCAATTCTTAAGTAAAGAAGTAAGTTATCTTGGTCACTTGATAACTGATGAAGGTATTAAACCAGATCCAAAAAAAATATCGTGTGTAGCTAATTATCACACTCCAACAAATGCTAAAGAGCTAAAATCATTTCTTGGATTAATAGGTTATTATCGAAAATTTATCAAAGACTTCAGTAAAATATCAAAACCATTAACATCTTTACTAAAGAAGGATCAACAATTTATATGGACGGATGCTTGTGAAGACGCATTTCAAACATTCAGAACCATATAGACCAAGGAACCAATACTTCAATTTCCTGACTTTTCTCGACCTTTCAATATTACAACAGATGCCAGTAATTGTGCAATAGGAGGAATATTATCGCAAGGAAACATTGGGTCAGACTTGCCAATTTCCTATGCATCACGCACATTAAATAAAGCTGAAATTAATTATAATACCACTGAAAAGGAGCTGTTGGCAATAATTTGGTCGGTTAAACAATTTCGTCCTTACATCTACGGTCGAAAATTTAACATCATAACGGACCACAAACCTCTATCGTGGATGTTTGGAGTTAAAGATCCAGGCGCTCGTCTTACTAGGTGGCGACTTCTGCTAGAAGAATACGACTATTCAATCATTTATAAACCAGGAGTTCAGAACACAAATGCTGACGCTCTTAGCAGAATAGCAGTTTCTACTACTTCGGAAATTGCGCCTCAATCGACTAGCGAATATAAGAAATTTCTTGAAGAAATATCCCAACGTGTCATTATAAACAATAATGTTACTGAAACAGCGGGTAATTTATTCGATGCTGCAGATGAATATGCATTAGGACATTGTGTTTCTCAAGATTTTTGTATGAAAAAAGGGATAGGTCTCGAATTTAGAAGAAAATATGGTCAAATTAAACAGCTAAAAAATCAAAATAAACTGGTAACAGAAATAGCTTCGTTACAAGTAAATGGAAAAACTATTCTTTACCTAATTACAAAAGAAAAACATTGGCAGAAACCTTCGAATGAAAACATGTTTTTAACTTTAAAAAATTTACGAACTTTCTGCGATTCAAATAAAATAAAAAAACTGGCTTTACCAAAAATATCTTGTGGAATAGACCAATTAGATTGGTCTGAAATACGCACAATGATTCGATTCCATTTTAAAGGATCTGAAACCAAAATACTAGTGTTCATTGATGACACATATACAGAAGAAGATAAATATAAGATTATCGAAGAATTTCACAATTCACCACTTGGAGGTCATCAAGGAATTTCCAGAACAATCAAAAGAATTAAACAACAACATACATGGAAAGGATTGAAAAAAGATGTACAAAATTTTATATCGTCATGTCAATCATGCCAGCGAAATAAAACCCTTAATAAAACCGTCAAACAACCCATGGTTATAACAACTACATCTTCCAAACCATTTGAACGTATATTCCTAGATATTGTTGGACCAATTACCAAGTCTAAAAAAGGAAATAATTATATATTGACACTACAAGACGATTTAACGAAGTTTTCTGCTGCATATCCGTTAGTATCTCATGATGCAAATTCGGTATCGAAAGCATTCGTTGAAGGTTTTGTATGCCAACATGGAATACCGGAGTCAATCTTAACAGATTGTGGTACAGAATTCATGGGTAAAATATTTGCTGCCTGTTGTAAGCTATTGCAAATAGATAAACTGCACACGACACCATATCATCCTCAATCTAATGGTGGACTTGAAAGGTCACATCAAACGTTAGCCGCTTATCTTCGACATTATGTCGATAAACATCTTGATGACTGGGATGACTATGTACCGTATGCAATGTTTGTATACAACACTACAGTACATACAACAACCAAACACCAACCATACGAATTAATATATGGATTCCCTGCCTCAATACCACATACATTAAGCAGAACTCCTCAACCTAGATACAACTACGATGATTATGTCTTCGAGTTAAAACAAAAACTTCAAGAGTCACACAAACAAGCTCGAGAAAACATATTATTAAGTAAAGAAAAATCCAAAGAAACATATGATCAAAATCGACATGAAATTAACTTCAATGTAGGAGATCGAGTTTGGATAAAAAATCACCAACCGAAAGGCAAATTAAGTCCTAAATGGCTTGGACCGTATTTGGTTACTCAATTAGAAGACAATGAAAATGTCATAATACAAAAAGAACGAAGAGAAGTGAAAATACACATAAACGAACTTAAACTGTGTGTTCCATAAAAAAAAAAAAAAGAGATAATATAATATCATTTTGTATTATTAAATTTAAGTGTAGAAAAAAAAAGAAAAATAATAAATAAATATTAAAATTATAAAAAAAAATAAAGATAATAATAATATAATATATTTCACATATGAACTTGTAGTCAATAATACACAATGGTGTTTCAGGATAATATGTATGATGGAATCTCTTATTAAAACAGAACCTTTGTACAACATCTCATATGCAAAAGAATCACCAGGAATCTACTTCGACTACATCTCCGACATGCATACAACAGCTGCAAATTGGGAGATAGCAATATATTTAAATGTGTCCATTTATCAGGCACATTATTTACAAATCAAAAATTTTCAGATTGAAACTCTAGGACTTTGCAATGAAGCGACCGAAAGTTTTTCAAATGAATGCAGTTTCTTATGCTTAAAAAAGAAATTTTATACTTCTGACATTTGTTCGTTGTTTAAGAATACATCAGAAAAAGTTTTGACCGAATTTGAATTTGAGACTAACAAATTACTCCAAATAGTTGAAGAACAGGATCATTCAAAACATAAACGTAATGTAGCCAGCAGTATAAAAGAAATGATATATACTCTGTTCGGGTCTATAAAAATAGACGATGTTTATAAATTATACTCAAATATCAGAACAATGATAAAAAATGGACAGAAATCTCAAAATTTAGCAGAAAGTAAATTAATAATTACTCCTGCGAATACTAATGATGCAATAATGATCAATAAACCAAGTATAGACGCAACGACGGAAATACAAAATAACATAAGACAAATTCGCCGATTTATTTTATCAGAACGAGAAGAGTTTAGTGATGAAAATATCAAAATTATATTGGAAAATCAAATTTTAAATCTAAAATTAATATATAACCAATATGCTTTAGAAATAGGAAAAATTATTCAAATCTTACATTCGGCTATGTATGGGAAGTTACACCCTTTAGTAATATCATCAAATCAATTATTAGATAAAATTAAATTGATAAAATTAAATCTTTCACCTGACTTAAACATTCCTGTAAAATTAGATGTATCTGGTATGTCTGAACTGTATAGAATAATGCAAACTACAATCGTTAAAAGTAATGATTTAATTATATTCATCAATACGATTCCTTTAGTATTAAGTAACATGTATAAACTATATAATGTTCTACCAAACCCGGTATATTTAGAAAATAATAGATTTATGTTTATACAACCTAGGTTTAAGTTTATAGCCATAACTATTGATCAGGAATATTTTATTAACTTAAGCGAAAATGATGTTAGTTTGTGTACTGATACAAACCGTTTTAAAATTTGTAAAAACTTTTTAGCCAAAAGGGTAGTGACATCAAACGAATGTGAAATAAATTTAATTTCTTACTCAGATGTTACAGAATTAGCAGATTTTTGTAAAATAAAATACACTTCATTTAAACATGGGATTTTTCATAAACTTATGTCTTCAAACTCGTGGATTTTCACGGTAACAAACCAAAATGTAATTTTAACGTGTTTCAATGTAGATTCAATAACAGAAGTATTAACTGGATCAGGAATATTATCACTAAGCGAACAATGTTCCGCAATTTCAGGAGGTTATCGCATGATTCCGTTTAGAACAATTTATTCAGAATTAAAATCAGATTTCATACCAACTATGAATTTAACTAAATATATACATAATGTTAACACAATAAAAGAATATGTATCCCCAGAAGTAGTATTTTCAAAGTATAAAGATGATAATGAAGTCACTATCCCAAAAGATAATTTAGATTATAAGAAATCTTCAATTTATATAAACTGTTATGTTATTGGTTTAATAATACTATGTTGTTTACTAATAATTATTCTGTCAATTATCACAATAAAAAAAATATTTAATTTTAAGAAAATTAAAAATGTCAATGTAAACCAACCGAGTTCGACGGAACAAAATAAACAAAACCAAGATGAACTTAAAATAAGAAAAGGAAAATCATTACCCAAAATAATTGTTTAAAAGTAGGATAATGATCTTCCGTCTAACCCGGGGGGTGTTATATGCCCACCACTATAGAGACTATAGAGACTATAGAGACGCTTGTTTTACAGAATATAATAACGCCTGTATGTAGGCGTCTTATCTTAGATATTTTGCTTATACGCGACAAGACCGTAGTATCGGTCCTGTCGGCAATTCAGTCTAGAACTCGACTCATTCGAGCTAAGTAGTGAGCTTGTAGTATAAATCATATTTTTTTAAAACTAATAAAGTATAATATTCTCATATAAATCTAAAACGTGTATTCTTTTTATTAATAAACTATTAAACAACATTTGATTATCACCCGCTACACAGAGAACGGTTTCAACAAATTGTCGTCTTCGGATACAACCAGAGACACAATATAAAATATAACAGAACATCACAGGCATACGCAGTGGCGTTCATAACAAATGTATACCTAATAATAAATAAATTTTAATACAATATATTCTGTTAAACTGTATTTATTATGTAAAAAAATTAAATTTTAAAAACAAACAAACGACTATATTCATTATTATACTCCCAAAATGTAATCGAGTTATGCAACAAATACTCATCAACTGGTGTGCAGCTCAGTCTGAACACCGTCTGTCCGTGTAAAATACGTTTGGTTGTCGAGTCGAGCCGAATCGGCAATTATATGTGACTTAGTGTACAGCTGCACACTCGTCAGGCGGTAGCAAGCGATAAACAAAATATAAAATATACTAATTATTATTATTATTAATGCTAATAAATATTTAACTTATTACATTTATACTTGAAACAGATTAATTTTTTTTTAAAACAAACTTTTGCAATAGTTGCACACCACCTACTTTGAACACCACGAGCCGCCACTGCAGCCCACTTTTGTGAGAGATTTGGGGCAGTGGCTTTTAAACGTCGCTGCGTCTTGGCTCCCTCCCCTCTCTCCTTTATTACCCCTGTGCGTAATACGCCAAGGCGCGCTTTTGTCCCGAGTTCACAGCTCTTTTGTGTCCAGCTGGACGCCGCCGTTTTGTTCGCCGGACACTTTGAACAAATCCTCCGTTTAGGCTCGCCTTTTTTTGGCGTTCGCCCTGCAGACATTTTTTTGTCCTCTCGTTTGTCGAGCCGTTTCGTACATCGGCTCTTTTCCGTGGTCGTTCTCGTTTCCACTAGTAATACTCGTTTTTACTTACAGCTTTTTCCACAGCAATTATATATACCCGACCACCTGATATCGCCTCGTTTGTGCCTTGTGTCCACTGTGGAATTATTAGTCTGCAGTATAGCTGACAGCGGTTACTTCTGCCCTGCGGTCAGATAATTCTAGCCCTGGATCAAAAGAAGTGCAGTTTATGTAAAAAAAGATGATACTACCTACTTATAAATATTATAAAATATATGGCTATATTTCCGTAGTCTTGTGTACCTACATTTAGTATTTACACTAATAAACGTTATTATTATTATGTAATTTATTTGGTTTTATTTGGTTTTATTTGATATTATTGAATTTTTAAGCTTTTGATCAATGACCAAAAAAAAAGGTAACAATAACAAGTTACATCGAAAAAATCAAAAACCCTGCGATTTTACGAGAAAAACGATGTGTAATAAAGCTCTCCGTGGATTTGAATTTCTCCAATTTGCTTAGTAATTTTATATTTTTCTCTTCAGAATGTTATTCTATATTAGAGTGTAGTTTTGCCATTTAGAATTCTTGTCAATCTTGCTGTGAGTGGCGCTCATTCAGAGCTTTAATTCTTATGCCAGTATATTTTTAAAAATCAAGTTGTTTTATTTCACAATAGTTTACAAATGTCCGAAACATGCCATAGTGTCCTCCGTCCATCATATTAGTCGATATAGGTACCTATACCTATATTAAAACTAGTTCACCCGCGTATAAATTATTTTTATCATGTTTATATACCTACTTATTTTTTGGTTGGTAAAAATCAGTTATTTTTATTCAAAATAGCTGCGTATATTTAAGCATATTTTGACAATTTTGACTGCATATTTCGATAGTTTTTAGTGCAACGCAAGTCAGGTCTCGCGAACACTACATTTATTTATATACGAAAACTGTACAGACTTGGTTTTAATCTGTACTTGAACATCCCCCATTTCATAATCCTGACTACGCCACTGGGAAGTAAGCATGACAAAACACGTTCTTTCATGAAAGTAAGGAAGAAATTGGAGTGAAGGTAACAGGTATCGAAGAAGTTATATGATTTAAGAAATATATATCTTGTTATTTAAGAGGACGCTACCCATGCATTTGTTGTCTCCGTCTTACACACGCACGACACAGTAAATTTCCATTCGCTAGTTTAAATTGTGTGTTGTTAGTTTTAATATTAGAGTGAAATGACCTGTTATCATACTTTTAGGTAAGAATATTATCTGTGCTTATAGGCATTGGCGATTTTTCAATATTTTCATTTTCTAGTAAGGTATGTGTATGTGAAATATCAAAAATGTTTAACTCTATGATTCAAACTAGTGAACGACGATTTAATTTTTATTAATATATTATTTAACAGGTATATTGTATAGCCGTATAGGTAATATTGTTCTATGGTAATAGTATATACCTAGGTAGTAGTCAGTCCTGTAAAGAATACTTTTGAAAAGTACTTGAGTAAGTACTCAAATACATTTTTTTTTAAGTATTTAAGATACTACTCAAATACTTTAATTGTATAGTATTTCAAATACTACACAAATACTTTTGGTTTTTAAAGTGGGTTTCTAATTATTGTAATATAGACACATAGGTAGTAAATTTATAATCATTTTTATTTATTATTTATTAAATAAATGTTTATTACATTTTTTTTTTTATTTTTACATGAAATTTACAATCGGTTCTTAACTAGAACAATAAGCAAATGTGCATAGGGTATTTGCGTATGATTTTTTTTTTGAGGGAAGAAACCACCCATTGGTGATACTACCTATTTTGTGTCCTTAATTCATTCTAAAATTTCTAAAATTATTTCAAATAAAAATAAAATGTTCGAAATAAAAAACCAAAGTATTCAATACCAAAAAGTATTTAATACAAAAAAAAAGTATTTAAAATACCATTCAAAATACTTCATGCTGAAAGTATGTAAAAAGTTATTCAATACTTAAAAAAGTATTTGAATACTTTTACTCAAATACTTTACAGGACTGGTAGTAGTATATAACCTTTTTTATGATACCTACCATTATCTACATCGTGCGTGATACAAACGAACGTACCGAAGGGTACGAGCCTGCAAATGCCATAGTTTTGGTGGCAAGTATTACTGTTGAGGAGCCACTGTTGTTCATGCATTAATTCGATATCTACGTGTGTGATAAGATAACATTTAAATAATTACCGCGTGAATTTAAATATTATAATCATTATTATTAATACAAGTAAATAATAACATTGAGTATTGTAATTTTTATATCCTAAATTTAAATTATTATACTTATAACAAAAAATGTAAGAATAATTCTAACATGTCCTACGAAAAAAAAAAAAAAATTATAATAATTTATTAAACTTTATCTAATACGTCCTACAAAAATATAATACAACATAAAATTAATAAAATGAATATAATTAATTTTAATTTAATATTGTTTGTTACTCTTTTTTTACAGTTCATTACTCGAACATAATTCATAATAATGAATAATTCAAATTTATCTTGATTGTAATAAAGATCATTGATATTAAACTATTAAAGATACAATTATATACAACGCGGGAATTCCTATACATGGACAATGTATATAGATAAAGTTTAATAAATTATTATTATTATTATTTTTTTTTTTTTTTGTAGGACGTGTTAGAATTTTCATTATTACATTTTTTTTTTTTTAAGTATAAGTATAATAATTTAGATTTAGGATATAAAAATTATAATACCCAATTTTATTATTTACTTAATATATTAATAATAATGATTATAATATTTAAATTCACGCGGTAATTATTTGAATGTTATCTTATCACCGACGTAGATATCGAATAAATACACGAACAGTGGCTCCGCTTACCACCGGATCTATGGCATTTGTAGGCTCGTACCACGGTTATCTACTAGTAGTAGAGTACCGAAGGGTCAGTTTGGCCCCCGATAAGAATTATAGCTGATAAAGCAATCTCAACAGTTGTTATCACTATTAAAAATTCGAAAAATCGGAGAACGTAGTAATGCTTATTAGAATTTTTATTTCCCGTCATCATTATAAACAGGAAATCCAAAAATGATATCCTTTATTAATGAGATGATCGATATAACCTCGACATAACCGGAAAACCATCATGTCGGCGTTTAATTCTAGCGGGCCCGCGGAGATATTGAGAGCTGAACAAAAAGACGAGGAACTTTACGAACGGATCAATCGACAGCTATGTGGATTCCTTCTGAAACTCAAAGGTAATATTAACTTACCATAATTAAGTATGGTAATACATGATCAGTGGCGTGGCGAGCATATTTCAAACCCTAAGCAAAATATTTAAACAATAACCCACCCACTACCCCCTAGTACATAATACATCAATTTAAAGATGCATGTTAATTTAGAATTTTTCTTATAGAACGTCATAAATAATTTATCATAAACAAAATACTACAATAATTAATTATACATTCATCCACGCAAATTTTAATTTTTAAAAATATAAAATTAATGTCTAGGGCTAAGCAATTGCATTAGGTAAATGTCGTCTACCACGCCACTGTACATGATTTTTGTTGAGTATGTGGTCCTAAACATAAGCCCACTGCTGCTAATTGTTAAATTTTTTTTTAGGACATGTCTTCGTAAATGTAAATAAAAATAACATCTTTTGCGCATCGCAATTACTGTACTATGCACTTACGACGCTATCTAAGCTCCAAACACTGGGCGAAGAATATACAAAAATCGTTCAAGTTGGAAAAACTGGAAAACACATTCCAGGACTGATGGTAATAAAAATGCAAATAACAGTGGGATGATCAATTGTTCACAAAGATTTTTTTCATTTACAGCAAAGCACTGGTATGATATTAGCCCACGTGTTTGGAGACAGACTCATCATTCTTGCTTTGGATCGTTTGATCTGTTATGTTCAGTATAACAAAACCATAACGAGTCAAGCCAAAGATCAAATTATACATATTGCAACGACCGTCAAATCTCTTGTTCCCTTGTTGCAAAGCCTCAACAGAGTATTATTTTATTGGGACGGTTCCTTTTATACGTGGGCCAAACGATTTTTCTCCATTAAATATGTAAGCAAAGGCTTGAACTTTAAACTTAAGAGGACTTGACACAATTTGATGTCTCAATCGTACAAGTGTGTAACATTGCAAATTTACGCTCAGCAGATCACGCTTAGCTTCATTATTTTAAAAATTAGAGTGAATCAACTTATTATGAAACTTGATAGCAAGAACATTATTTGTGTTTCTATGTGGGTTTTGTACGGTAATTCAGTTTTAAGTAAGTTATGAGCATTTTTAATTTACGCTAGGTATCTCAAAAGTTAATAAAAAAATTAATTTTGGTTAACACCCACATACAAACACAGATAATGTTCTTACCATCAAGTTTCATTCTAATTTTTAAACTAACGAAGCTAAACATGATCTACTGAACGCACATTTTCTATTAAACGCACTTGTAGGACAAAGACAACAAATGCCAAATGTACTCTTAAATAGCTTAAATTATAATGTTTATTAATATTTATTGTGTTGAAGATATATGCAATTCCGTGGTACCATCCTAAGCGGCCGTTACATGTGTTTAAAATTCTGAGTGTGTTGACTGGCATCCATTTGAGTGTACTCATGATCACGGCTGTGTTTAAAACCCCAACAGTACAAAAGAACGCAAAAGAACATCCTAGTCAGCCAATTCCATTGAGCAGCAACAGTAAATGTTCTCTTTGCTTAGAACCAAGACAAAACACCTCACTTTCGTTTTGTGGACATCTGTTTTGTTGGTATTGTATTCATGAATGGCTGCAGACTAATAACTTTTGTCCAATATGCCGTAAAGTACTAAATCCTAGAATGGTGGTACCGTTACAAAATTTTACTTAGGCAAGCCGTAAACAAATTTATTGTACAATTGGGCATTTGATTAGGGAACAGGGAAACATAATTGTCCTATTATTTTTATTGATTAGTAAATTATTATTGTATTTGACAAGCCATTTTTATATGATTTAAAAAGAGTAACTTATTGTCAAACTATTTTGATTAGGTACTCAGTTGATAATCAAGTTATTTTGTAATTGGTATTTTTATTGATAATCAAATTATTTTGTAATTGGTATTTTTATTGATGGTTTATTTTTATAAAAAAAAATTACAACAGATTAATGTGTTCATTTATTTATTTTTTGTGTATCTGCCACTTACCTATATACTTACACACTTAAAGGATTTGTTAATCCAAGTTTAAAATAATAATTATTTTTATAATTTTATTTACATTGCCAAATACTTTTTGTTAGGAAATGTCTTGTTTACCAATAATGGGAGTTGTTTGTCATTTATTACACTTGCATCAGTCTTAATTCTTTAATAATTGCATTAAAATATCAAACTTTATTATCATAAAATGATTTCTAATGGAAGTATTATAAGAATTTGTACATTATATATTCAAATTAGTGTAGATTAAAGTAAATATATTTAAATTAAGCGTTTAAACTTTAAAGAGTTTAATATTTTCAATGTTATGTAGTATAATGTAATGTATTGTGATAACTATTTAATTACTTGTTATGGAAAAATATTGATTACAATTTAATTAGGTAAGCCTAAATTAAAAAAACACCATTGTAAAACCACTAGCTTCCTCGCTCCGCCCAGAATCTAAAATTTAAATAATTTATTAGAAAGTGGAATATTTAAAATAAAATATAAACTCTAAAAGACCTTATCATATTATAATTTATTAGAAAACTCAACAACTATTTCGATAAAATTAATAATGATGAAGCAAAGATTAAACTATTAATATGTAGTATTGTCGGAAAAAAGAAAATAATATTCTATGCTCACACAAAAGGCCAAATAGTTAAATAAATACATCATAGATGAATATTATTTTTACTAACCAGTAACAGTAAATGGTTACAGGGCGCACTACTTGCTATATTATATTATAATTATAATATATATTTAACACTTTAACTACATATCATTGTGTTGCATTGATTGCCATCCAGTAGTGTCATAATTCTAAGGTTGATATAGAATCTGGAAGACATTAGACAATTTGTCAAAAGAAAATAATACATTTTAACATTGATGTACACATTTTTTTACAGGTTAATTGGAAATAAATAATAAGTTCATTATTCGTAATTTTACATTAAATAATTCTCCAGTACTAATTACTATATATAAAAATAATAACTCATTTGTATCTATTAGCTATTATATATTATGATTGGTACTTGTACTTATTATCTACCACTTTTCTACCCAATGGTAAACGGGGTTTTATGATGACTAGATGTCATGGTGAAAACATTTTTGGGGGGCAGTTGGACACATTATGGTAAGCATTAACATAAAACAAAAATTAAAATATTTACAGTCTCATATTATTTATATCTATTCTATCATATCATATTAAAGGGATTATTAAGAGTGCTAGGTACCTACTGAAATATATTCAGTGCATCATGGCATAAAGCCACTTTATCTACTTAGTTCTAATATAAGTTATAACTACTATTTACAGCCATATAGCCAATAAGTCAATGCTAAGATAATATGTTAAATCACTCTTAATAGTTTATTTCCAAAAATGTCTTTCCGTATTATTAAAATAAAATGTCTTCACAAATCGTCAACGAAAAAAAAATATAAGTTATTTAAAAATCTAATAATAACACAGGGAACGAGAAACCCTTCTACAAACTAAATAAAATATTCAATAAACGAAATAGCACACGTGTTGCCCGAGGGCCAAGACCCAAGTGCATAAATGTATATTATATAGTATCTATACAAAATTGAAATTCATTATCTATGGTAAATATTACAATAACACTGCATAGTTCATAGTATGTATTTTACATAGGTCATATGCATTCATACATGCAGTCCTGTAAAGTATTTGAGTAAAAGTATTCAAATACTTTTTTAAGTATTGAATAACTTTTTAAATACTTTCAGCATGAAGTATTTTGAATGGTTTTTTTTGTATTAAATACTTTTTGGTATTGAATACTTTGGTTTTTTATTTCGAACATTTTATTTTTATTTGAAATAATTTTAGAAATTTTAGAATAAATTAAGAACACAAACTAGGTAGTATCACCAATGGGTGGTTTCTTCCCTCAAAAAAAATCATACGCAAATACCCTATGCACATTTGCTTATTGTTCTAGTTAAGAACAGATTGTAAATTTCATAAAAAAATATAAAAAAAAAATAATAAACATTAATTTAATAAATAATAAATAAAAATGATTATAAATTTACTACCTATGTGTCTATATTACATTAATTAGAAACCCACTTTAACAACCAAAAGTATTTGAAAAGTATTCCAAATACTTTTTCAAAGTATTTGAGTAGTATCTTAAATACTTAAAAAAAATGTATTTGAGTACTTACTCAAGTACTTTTCAAAAGTATTCTTTACAGGACTGCATACATGTATAAATATATTATCTATCTAGATGAGTATACAAACGAATGTCTTCAAAAGTGCTTAGTTTATCGTCTTTATAATTATTTATAAAAAACATTCATCTTTGGCTCTTTATATTACAAATAATCTTTAAAATTAATACAAAATAATTCACGGTATAATTGACACGCAGATAGGATGTTTTTAATTCGTAGTAGGTACCTATTGTTAATAATATGAATATATTATAATATGATGTACGACGCATCGACGTGTATAATACTACAATGACGTATGTTATGTTATATTATTGTATAACAATAAGATATGTTATTACCCAGGTACTTACTAGTTTCTACCACATTAAAATTAATGATGATGTAGCTTTAAACATATACTAAACAATTTAGCGCAATATAACTATCTAAATTCTAAGTATCAGAACCCTGAGTACGCCACTTAAATTTTAACTAGGTACTGAATTGTATTTGAATTTAAAGTTGAATAAATGTTGTCAAAATTCGAACTAATGTATATAAAAAAAATTTGTGCCTTGATACCAGGAGCCTTATATACATTTTCAAGCTTTTTTACCCAAAAAATACAATTTTATTGACATTTATAGAAAAAAAACTCAAAAATTAAAAATTGAAAATGTAAGGAAACAGCTCAAAATGAGTGAAAATATTTTGAACGTTTTATCAAGTATAGGAATTGATAAAATAAACATATAGTGTACATTTCGAGTATCTGCAGTTATTCGTTTTTTAATTACAGCAAAGTAAAAAATGTATATTATCTTTCAAAAAATAAAACTTAAAAATTGTATAAATTGTAGATATTTAAAGGATTACCTTGTTCTAGTATTTTCGCTATCAGGTGGTTAATATAGATAGGCACTTAATCCTGGATAACAAAACATTATACAAAATTATATATTAATCCATTATCTAACTGGCCACACTAATTTATTAAGTACATATTTGTATTTTTGAAATAAATCTTTTTTTCTTAAGTACCTATAGCCAATAGCCATAAGCGGAAATCCAGTAAAATGTCAGGTGGGGCTAACATTATTAACATAAATGAAGGGGGCTTGATGGACTTTTGGGGGGCTAAGCCCCCTAGGGACCCTCCACCCCACCCCCTCCGATTGCCACCAATGCTTACAGCTTGAAGTATTTATAATTATAATCATATCACAAAATGTTTAGTGAAAACCTATGTTTTTTTGCCTAATCAAAACTCAAAAGCACAATACTTTCCCTAAAAATATGAATGTTTAAATTAGATCAGGACATATAGTTTATTTTTTTTTTGTTAATTATTATTAAAAATGTTTATAGTTTTAACGAACGGAGGCGCTGAGTAAAATAGTAATAAAGAGCCATAGATTGTAATCCACTAATAAGCTATATTTAAATTTTTATTTATATTATTTAAATTCTTACTACCTAAAAACTTATTGCTCAATATCTGGTATGAACATACCAACATTTTTAGAAAACGATTTTGCTTCCAATTATAGAACTTAAAATACAAAGGTTGACAGATTGTCATTAAAAAATTCGAAAACCTAGGTATACGATGGAAACTTTAAAAATTACATAACGGTATACCTATATAAATATTTATGCATATAGGGTGATTCACCTGCACGCATGCTCACTCCCATTTTTTTCAATAATAAATGTATTCAAATTTTGATTTTTGGAATTTTAAATACCTATACTTAAAGACCACATTTTCAAATTTTTGAGATTATTTGTATTACCTAAAAGTCCTAAACAGTGTCCTGCGGTGATACAAACATCCATTTTACAAATGAGAACCCTCCTTTTTTAATGTAAATGAATTATAGTGGATAATTTTTTTTGAAATGTTTTATGTGCCTAGTTTAAAATCCGAACGAGTAGTTTCTCAGTTATTAAGATGTTTGTACTAAGGATAATATTAACAGTATTAATGGATATAAAATTGGACCTACAATTTATTATACTCAGACCATTTTTACTAATTATAATTGTTGATAGATTAATATTAATTACTACAATTTTCGAATCACCATAACTCCTACACCTTCCAAACCCATTATTTTGGTCAACGGGGTATGGACCTATTATCCTTAGAGCACAAAGTTAAATATTAACTCAAAACAACTCGTTCGAATTATGATTTCAATTTTTCAGAAATATTATCTGCTAAATAATTTACAGAAGAAAAGTGGGGGTTCTCGTTTGAAAAAAAGAAGTTTGTATGTCGACAGGACACTCCACAGAACAAAAAAGGTGGGCAAGTGGGTGTCGCTCTGCTGTACAGTAGGTTACAAGTGGGTCACTGTATAATGGATGGTATTAAATTTGAATTCAATGATATAATATCATTGTATAAGAAAAACGATTCTGAGCGGTGATGGTATGTCAGTCTATGTATAAGGCATATTATA